TAACTGTCAAAATATCTTCTGCTTTTTTTTTTTTTTTTTGTCTAATCAAATAATACAATCAAAATAAAAATATTCATTTACTACTTCATATTTTTTTATAGGTGATTTAAGAATTATGGTTTTTGTATTAAAAGCAGAAGAAAATGAAAGTAAACAAAAAACAAAAAAAAATTTCAAACGTTCATCAGACATATAAGATCAATTAAAATGGTTTTTTTTCCTAATTGAAATCCTCCAGTTTTTTTTTTATAAACTATTAATAATTTTAGTTAATTCCATTAAAAAAAAAGACAAACTTTTTTATAAAATTGTCTCCATTTAAAATTTCCAGCATCCGTCCATGTTCAAACATGTTTGTTGTTCATCCAGGCATGTCACTTAACATCCTTTCCATGGTGTGTAATATAATAATAACTATAAAAAAGATAAAATTATTAATTCATTTGACAATTGTTAATAATGATAAAAAATATTGAATTATTTAAAAAAAATTTCAAGTCGTGACACAAAAAATTTTCCCTTTTCTTACCCATTTTTAATAGAAAATGAAAGTTGAAAGATGGATCATGTTGAGCACAAAATGAGATGATGATGATGATGATTTTTTTTTTTTATTATGCGGATTCACTTCCGATTTGCAGGAATGTTTCTGGTCCAAATGACCTTACGGAACAATAAAAATTACAGACCGTATCCCCTCATATCCGGTTTAAATCAAAAAAAAAAAAAAACAAAACAAATTTTTTTTTTTTTTTTGCTTACATTTTACTTTTGGTTTCAGATTACCGTTTTTTTTTTTTTTTTTTAGATAATTTTAATAAAAAGTGCTTATTATGCATAAATTTCCTTACTAATGGTACTGTCTGCGAATATCTTTCCTTTTTTCTTTTCGGTGAGGTCTGTAAAAAAAAAAAAAAAAAAAAAAAAATTTTAACTGATAAAAAAAAAAGTACAGTAATAATTAAGTATTGTTCAAGGTTAAAGCATGCAAAATAATTTTTTTTTGTATGTTATTAAAAATAAATAATAAAACGGTCATTTTTGGGTTGTAAAAATTTTCTTTTTTTGCTTTTCTAACTATTTATGTACTTTATTACACATTTTATTAATCAATTTAACGATAAAGCCAAGGACAACAGCACATTTTTTTGTGGAAAAATGGCGAGGGTGGGTTTTTTAAAATTTAATCAATGTGCGAGATTTATTTATATGCTTTTTACTTTCCGTTGAAATTTCGATTGTTGTTTGTTTTCGAACTATAAAAATACAGCGTAAAAAAATGAGAAAATGCTACGACTATACATCTATATATTTGCATGAAAACTGACCGTTAAAATGAGACGCCATTTTTATTGTGTCTTGTAAAGTTTTATTTATGTAATATCCACATGAATTTGAATTAGTTTTTAAATATATTTCTCTTTCGAACTCTGTATTATATTCATAAATTAAAAAAAAATCACTTACTGTAATTGTTACGTAATAAATAAACTGTATAAATTCTTTTTTTTTTGTCGCCATGAAAATGTAGCACTCGTGCTTTTTAACGAACCTTTTCTTAATGCGTAATAAAGATTAAAAATAATCAGGGTTGCCAATTTAATTTTTATTAATTTTGATTTTTTTTTTTTGCCATTTGAAATGAATACGTTTAATGATGATGCCCGGTAAAGAGTTTTTTTTTTTTTTCTTGAATCATAAAGATAAGTTTTTTTTTTTTAAGAACATTTTATTTTAAAGTTTTTATTATACATTAATCTATTTCTTCTTTTTTTTTTAATAACAGATAATGATTTCGATTTGGTGGACGTTACTTTTTTTAACCGTTTCACGTAAGTACAAGTGGTTGCTTTATATGACGTAAGAAAGGAAAATTTCAAAAAAAAAAAAAAAAAAGAAAAATGGTTTTAATATTAATTTTCAAAGGGCATGCTAATAAAAAATGACCTCGATAGTTTAGAAACCCTTAAAAGCGGGTAATGTCCTTTTAAAAAATTCAAAAACGAAATCCCCACTTATAATTGGGGAGTTTTTCTTTTCGAGTCTTTTAATTTTGTATCCTAGGCGACCATGTCAGGTATGCGTGATTTAAATTTATCATATAAAATCTTTCCTTTCTTTTTTTTTTTTATTTCTGTTTAAAATATCGTTTTATTTTGCATTTAAATTATACTTAAACTTTAAGACTACATATAGAAAACTTTTTTTCAGGTATTTACCCTGTCAGGGGACAATATAATAGTAATTGCGGTCAAAAAGATTATGATAGATGTGTCAGATTGGCTGATCCATTATTAACAGATCCTCATCTTATTTTTCCTGATAACATGGCGGATGTTGATAATGTTTGCAGGTGATAATCCACGACAAAAAATTAAAGTTGAAGTTGTTTTTTTACATACAAGTTTTTTATTAATTTTTTTAAGAACTTGGAGCAAGTTTGTCGATTGTATAAAGAGTTACATTGATCGTTGTTTTACCGAATCTCGTCGAAATCAATTTAACAAAGCCGTTGAAAGTCCGGTCGATTCCATATATCAAATGTGCACATCCAGCACATACCAACAAGAATATTTACAACATGCTTCTTGTCTCAAATCCACACTAACAGAAGACATTCATTGTGGGGTTTATTATAAACAATTAGTGGCACACGTACAAGGACCAAGAGATATGGGTAGATCAGATCTTTGTTGGTAAGAAATAAAAGAAAAACCAACGATTTCCTTCTTATTTATTTTTAAACAGACTCAAACGTACAATAATAATAATAATAATAACTTTGTTATATAAACCTATAATTATATTTTTATATTTTTAATTTTTTTGTGTGGAAAGGGTTGAAAGTTTCCAGTACTTTTTGTTTAATGATTCCCTTTAGCAAAACCTTGAAAAGGTTGTTGTTGTTACCTTATCAATATTTTAGGGTTGTAATATTAGTTATTATTATTATATTTCAAGGTCGGATAAATATTAATTAAATTTAATACATAATAATTATGTTTCAACCTGATATTATTATGATTTTATTTGTTTTGCAGTTCCCATCACAGATTTAGAGAATGTGTATTGACCGAAACAAGAAGAGCATGCGATGGTAAAGTATCGGCAACGTCAAAAATGGTCGCAAGTGCTTTCAGCAGACAAATTCTTGATAAAGCATTGAGTTTTCTAAGAGAACAATGTTCATCATACTTGTAATCATTTATTTATTTTTAATGTTTTCCCTTTTGTCAAATTACAAATCACGGTAGCAAGTTTTAATTTTACAGACCGGGACAAGGAGAATGTCCAGGATATGTACCGCCATCGGTAACGAGACAAGATGAAAATTATGGAAAATCAAGCGTTAATAACATAATACATTCAACTCCTTCCGTCGAAACGAGATACATAACAAACGATCAAGTTTTTTCCGATAATTTTCATCAACCGACCGTCGTAGAACAATCGACGATAAATACGCTATCATGGAGTCCGAATACTAGAGATTCGAGAAGGAAAACAACAAAAGCTGCTGAATATGATTATTCGACCGAATTAAGAACTCCGACCACTATTGAGGACACATCATCACGTTCGAGTTATGGTAGAGGAATGTCAATGACATCCACACAATCCTCGTCGTCGTCGACAGGAACAACAAGAGATGATATATTTAAAGCAACTCATTATAAACCCTCGACGGAATCCTGGTATCCTGGAAAAAATATAAATTTTTACAATGCCGAAAAGGAAATAAATGATTTTCCCAGCAATCAGGTTGATGAACCCAATCAACAGGGTTTAGCACGTTTGGATATTGATACGGATTTAAATTCTGGTTCCACGTCAATTATATTTAACTTTTTCTCCTCCTCCTCCTCCGCCTCCTTATTATTATTATTATTTTCCGTTATTTTTTTATTTAATCGACCGTGATTTAAAAAAAAAACCTGATTCTTCTATTATTTATTTATTTAAACAATAAAAATAATAATAATAATAATACGTATTTACGAACGAGTTTCTTTTTTTTACATTATTAATTCAGCTTAATTTTTTTTTTCTTTTTTTCATTCATCAATTTAAATTAAAAAAAAAAAAAATGTTTAAGTGAAAACTCATTGGAATCATACAAGTGATAAAAAAAAAAACTATTAAAATTTTTTAATTGATTCACAATTATTATAAATCAATCAATCAATCAATTGGATTAAATTAAATTTAAAAAAAAAAAAAAAATTGTTGCTTTTAATTAAATAATAATAATAATAATAATAATAATAATAATAAATAAATAAAAATCCAGTGGTTACCATTATAGCAGCAGCTTTACCATTTTGTAATGATTGTGCTACGTTCATTGAACAACTGCCTTCATTTTTATTTTTGTAAATTTATATTTATGAGCATTATTTAACAATATATATAAATATAAATATAATTTTAACTTTCTCTCTTTCTTTTTCTCTCCCCTCTCTCTTCCCTTTTCTCTCTCCCCTCTCTCTTCTCTTTTCTCTCTCTCTCTCTCTCTCTTCTCTCTCATTTTTTAACTTATTACATAATTATTTATAATTGGTGAGTATAAATAAACGACGCGAATGAAAAATTTCGTATAAAAAATATAATTTAAATAATAATAATAATAATAATAAAATTAAAATAAATGTCAGTGACTGTCTAAAAATTGTACGTCCGATAGTAAGAGTAAAGTTTGAGGAAGTGGTCGAGGTTGGGGGCTCAACACGGTTAAAACTCCTCTTTTTAAATCGACGTTCGTACTGGAAAAAAAAATAAAGAAAAAAATTTTTTTTATTTTTTTTTTGTTGATTCCCATCGTTTGAGTTTTGTTAAATTATTTTGAATTCTCAACAACTTACACGCAAATAAATCCGGCTACGTTTGTCGTGATGACATCTTCGTCGGCGCTTGCTGCAAAACTAACAGCTAAAATGTGATTAAGTAAATTCATACCTGAAAAAAAAAAAAAAAAAAAAATTATTCATAACCAATAAATCAACAATTTTTATTTATTTTAATAATCATTACCGGGTGTTAATTGAACTAATTTCGTTTTGTTTTCTTCAGGTTTCATTCCTAATGGCATGCATGAATCTGGCAGTGATGGAGCACCTATTTTGTAAACTTGTATCTCTGATAATTTAACATCGAAAGAATGTGGAAATAATTGTGGCGACATTGAACCATAAAAATATTCATTAACTCTTGAATCCCGATTTTCTGCTCTGTTGCTTTGAGATCTTTCTACAACCTTAATTTAATTATTTTCAATTTTATTATTTTTTACCCCTTATGAGATGAACTCGAATCTGACATTCTCACACATGCATGCATAAACACTTACTCCTCTGCTCTTGGGTAAAAATACAACTTTAACAAAATTAGGTAAATCTCTTTGTAGTTCGTTATATAACCTTTCCTGATCTAATACCAAAATAACATCCACTTCAAAAGATTGAGCAACATGAAGTATTTGTTTATATCCGCTGCCTCTAACCCAACCGCAGGTATTTATGACAACACCAGATGCATTCGCTTAAAAAAAAAATTAATTTGAAACATTTTATGTATTGACTAAAATGAGATTAGGTTAAAAATGATAAAGTTACAAAACTAACCTTTTTTATTGGCTTGCATCCTTTCCGAAATAACTTCAGATAATTTACTTATTAACAAATTAAATAATGGTAAGTTAGCATTGGGTGCTGTGTGTCCGAAATGATAAACCAATGGAGCTTGTTGAGAAAATCCATCGACAGATGCTGGCCTTTCGATTAACATTGCTCCTATTGTTCCAGGTAATGAAATGTGACCTAAATATTTTTGTAATAAAATTAAATTAGAATTTTCTCTTTAAGGAAAATAAAAAATGACTTCTCTAACTATATCAATTACCCTGTCCAACATCTAAATCAACATATATTGGTCTTCTTCCCATTCTTACCGCATAATTTAATAATATTCTACAAACTGTACTTTTGCCAACATCGCAAGGACCGACAACCATTGCGATGGGTCCTTTTTTTTCATTCGTTTCAGCATTTTTACGCATTTGTTCAAGAGCAGCATGGCAATTTAAATACATTACCATGGGTGTTTCTCTTGCAACGTAACTGACATCCGTTTTACCTTTTAATTCTAGAGTGCAGCCTTGCCATGTGAATATGGCTACTTTGGCACCGGTTGAAAAAATATATTTTTTCCCTTTGACAAGTTCCGTTCCGAACAATTCTGCCATACCAGCTTTAAGCTTAAAAATACATAAATATTTTCATTAAAATGGCGATTGATTCTTATTTTAAATTAACTAATATTTTTCATTTTTAAGTAGGCATACCTCAACCGCAACTTTTTCATTTTTCGTTTCGATTTCAAATCTTAATTCAGAATCTGCTTCTAAAACAAATTCTTCTACCTGCTCTTCACTTTCGGTATTCTCCGCCATTGTCAAAACACTTTGTAAATTATACATATATCTTATTGCACGTTAACCTTTTTATCTTCTTCCACGTTTTTTTAACGGTTATTCATATTTGCAAGTTATTTGTACTGCAAATGGTAAAAATTTCACTATGTGTTAATATATTACACATTACGTAAAAATTTTACAACAAAACATGTACGTGAAGTTAAACAAAATAACTAATATTATTTTAGGTTATACTTATTAAAAAAAAAAAAAAGTAGGAAAATAAATAAGTTAATTAAACTCATGTAAATTAATTTCACAACAAAAGACACTTTATTTTATCATTATTTATTTTCTACAAATACTTGATTATACTAAAAAAAAAAATATTTTAAGTACAATATTACAAATTAATTCTCACAACCTTTAACCACTTGAGTGAGTGTAAACACATAATATAATAATTTCGAAAACAAAAAAAAACCTAATTATTTGAAATTTCAATTACAAACGACGTTGGACGCAAAAAAACTTTTTTTTTTTTTTTTTTCGAAAATACATTTACCGTTATCAAAAGGCAAATACTATTATTTGAAAAAAAAAAAACATTCATTTTATCACAACATCAATTTTTTTTATTTTTATTTTTATAAATAAATAAAATTACATTGTATAACATATTCCCCATTATTATTATTATTATTATTAATATTTTAATTGGCACATTAAAATGAAAAACGTCGTTGTATTAAATGCTTTTTTGTGCATTTACAAATTAAAATAATGGGGTAATGGCTTCCATTTTAACTGAAACCCAAAAATCCTTCACAATGATTTTCATTTTTATTATAATAAATCGGGACGGATCGAAAATTTCCCCCAGATGAAAACAAAAAGAAAATCAAAATTCAATTTTTTTTTTTTTTTTTTTTTCAAATATTTTTAAATACCTTAAATAAAATACAATAAAAAAAAAAAAAAAAATTCAGTACGATTTCATAACAAATCTACAAATCTACAAAAATACATTTTTTTTTGTATTGTATTGTTTTATTATTATTATTATTTTGGCAATTAAATTAAATTGGCAACATTATTAATTATTATTACATCAACATCAGCCTAAATTCTCTAATGTGAGATTTTAATAAAAGTACTATACCGATTCCGATTATTGGAAGTCCTAAAATTGCACAAACAGCTTCTCCAGTAACTTCCGGTTTGAATTCCAAAAAATCTACAAATCACAACACACATTTAATTAAATACCGTAATTATAAAAAATTATTAAAGAAAAAGAGGGGGGAGGGGGGTGGGGTGAAAAACTCACTCGTGAAATCATCGTTCATGTGAAATAAACACCAAAATAAACTTGAGATTGGAAGAGCGGGCATCATGATCGAGACGACAGTAATGGCGGATTGTATATTTTTCATTAATTCTAAACATGATAATATTAACGTCACGTATGAAAAAACAAAAACGATCGTAACAACCGACAAAGTGTAACATTTATTACTGTCGCTTAATCCGATGTGACAATAAAATGAATCGATTATATCACTTATAACATCCACTAATAGTTTTCCTTTACCCTGAAAACAAAAGAGTACAAAAAATTAACTTATGGAAAATTATAAAATATGAATAACATTTTAAATGACTAACATCGTTGAAAAATTCCATCGTTGGCATCCAACAAAAACCCAATATTAATAACCAACATGTTATGTGTTGCCACAAAGCGACATCGTAACAAACACCAGAAGACCACGTCTGCCATTTTCCATTATCATTTTTAGGAGTTGATGTGATTGGAAATTTTTTAATATCGCATAGAGATAATCGACTCAGACAAGATGTTGAGCGTATTGGAGAATTATTTATTATTTTTCCATTTATTAATTTGCTACCGCTTTGACATTTTGAATTTATCATCATGGATTTCTTAATGTCTTTTGTTTTATTCAAAGTTTTACTTTTAACTCCTCCCAAATTAGATTCTCCATCTTGATAAATGACTGAAAGACTTTGAATGGAATGTTTTAAATTGTCACTTTGTGTATTTTCATCATTGAAAACATTCGACAATATTGAAACATTAAAACTTGAATTAGAATCCTGTAATATTGTAATCAAATAGTAATAATAATAATAATGATAATAATGATAAACATTAAAGTCTTAAAAAAATACCTCATATGATGTCCAACAAACTTCAATAAATGTAAAATGCAATATCCAAATCCCGTGAAACAATAAATACAAAATAACATATAAAAAATGTAATTTCGGTGTGACTTCGGTCATTGTTGAAACTCCATTACAACGAAATTTATCGCACAAACCAAAATCGACGCTTACAAAAACTCCTACAATTATTGTTATGGCACAAAAGGTTTTTTCAAGACTCATCTCTGAAATAATAAAATTTTAAAAACCATGACATAAAATGACAAATTTAAATAAATCATTTATTAATATTATTTTTTGTTATAAAATTTAATCATTTATTTAAAATGGGGGCAAAAATACGCACAACATACTTATTTATTTTTATAATTGTTTATGTTAAGATAATATAATTTAAATTAAAACATAATTAATTTGTTTTCCTTGTTAATTATTATCATCGCCAATTTTTAAACAATTGTTTTGTCATGTTATAAATACTGACATGTGTCATCGAAGCGACAAATAATGAAAAATAAATAAACATATTTAAATAAAATTTATTGTTAAATTTAAATTTTTTGTCAACGTAGAGAAAAAAAAAAATTCTTAATCAAAAACTATTAACACAAAAAAAAAAAAAAATAATAAAAAAAAAAAAATAAACTTGCCGAATAAAATTTTAAGGTTGTTAAATATAACTTACTCTTCCTGGAAAAAGTATAATAAAAAAATAGAGAAAACACAAGACAGCTGCCTTTGAGTGGATCCTCCAAGTGACACCTCACATAATTTCCATCCATGAACCAAAAAATTGCTATGCTTCCGATTGATAAGAGAAAACTCACTTTTAATATTTCGGAAAAGCAAAGAGTGTGATTTGGTGATGTTTGACAATCGCATTTCGGTATGAAAACAACCATATGAGTTATTCCGAATAGTATGACATTAACTGAGGATATAGTAAAAAGTTTACTATACGTTGATATACTGTAAAACGATGAATATTTTAAATATATCGGAACTACGATGACCAAAACGGACGATGAAACAAATATTAATGAACATGTTAATATGAATAGAATCGTTTTACGATTCGATTTCGGAATTTGATCATCTTTGTGTACAAAATCTAAGATTTTTTTTTCTATGAAGTAATCGATTTCTTCCTTATCGCACGTCTCTTCTTCGCTTTCTCTAATTTCAACGAGTAAATCTTCTTTTTCTTCATTTTCCATCATATAATAACAACTATGACACTTGTTTATTTATATAGAAAAATTTACAATTTAACTATAAAATTACAAACGTTACATGAAAAAAGATTACTTTTACTATAATAAGCATTTTGATAACGGCGAAATCGTGTTCGAAAATGCATCAGGAATTTCAAACAGAAGAAATGTTTTCTTACTCTATGACAATGAAAAAAATTTTGCTGCTGACAAAATTGAACCGTCAAATCATACGACATCATTTTTTAACCGAAAACTAAAAACCGATTCTTTTTTGTTTTTTTTTTTTTTAAATTTAAATTTATTTTAAAGGTTTTGTGTAAAAAAAACTACATGGCAGTGTGAGTTAATTGTTGATATTGTCTGACTTTTTTAAGAAGATTCATTTCATTTTTAGTCATCATTTCCATGATGGACGATTCAAAATTTTCATCCAAACATTCTCTCAACACTTGTTTTAATTTTTCCGTTGAATCCTTATCGGATTTGGCCGATATTGGAAGTATGTCAAAAAATTTTAAATATTTTTCCGGTCTTAATTTTTCCGGTAGTCGAGATGCTGCATAACCTAGGGGAGTAAATGCGATGTAAATTTTTACAATCGAAAAAAAAAAAAAAAATATGGAGGAGGAGGAGAGAGAGGAAAATAACTAACTTGGTAAGTCCTTAAACGTGGGTAATATTTCTTTAAATGCGGTTAAAGCTCCTGGTAAATCCATTTTATTTATTGCTAAAACTGCCGGCTTATCCAAAAGTTCACTTTTATACAATTCCAATTCCTAAAATTATTTTTTAAAATATTAATTTAATTACAGCAAACGTGTGTGTGCGTGTGTGTGAGGGAAAACAAAAATTTCCTTCGTACCTTATTTAATAAAATGACGGATTCTATGCAATTTCTATGAGAGCACTGTGGCGTCAATTGAAACCCGAAAATGTCGACGACCAATAACAACAAACTACTTCTTTCGACGTGTTTTAAAAATTCGTGACCCATACCGACGTCATCGGAAGCACCCTCGACGAGACCCGGCAAATCCGCCATTGATATTTTACGTAAATCCGAATATTCTAATATTCCTAAATGAGGTCTCAAAGTCGTGACTGAAACGTAAATCATTTCTCATCTCTCCCGCCATTTTTATTTAAAAAAAAAAAAGCAAAAAAAAAATCAATTACATGCATAATCTGCTATTTTAGGTTTGGCTCTCGATAACGAATTTAAAAGAGTCGATTTTCCAGCATTTGGAAATCCAACGAGTCCAATATCGGCAATCAATTTTAAATCTATCGTTATGAGTTGAGAATGACCTTTTGAACCTGAATACGCTGGTACGCTATTCGGTCCTCCACCAGGTCCACCTTCAGCTACCATAATTTTATCTCCGACCGCATTCAATTCCCCTGGAAAAGAAAAAGTTTACGTGTCGAATCCGCGAACAATATATACATTTATTTATCTAATTCCACGTTCGTCGACAAACCCATTTTCCTCATGAATTCGTCGTACACGACGACACCGGGGGGCACGGGTATTATGACGTCGTTTCCAGGTTTACCGAACACTTTCATTGTTTTACTATTTTCTCCAGACTCAGCCGTAACCAATAATTTTGAATATTTTTTCCATGTGTGATTCAATATCGTCTCTGTAAATGCGACAAAATGAAAAAAAATTACAATCGATGATGATAATAATAATAAATAAATAAAATAAAATAAGGGTTACTTTTTCTAGCTTCGACGTAAACATCTCCACCTTTTCCTCCGACACCACCATATTTGGGTAAACCCATCCCTCCATTTCCACCCTTAACTCTTAATCGTATCGTATCAATAAAATTTTTAGAAAATTGTTTCTGGAACAAAAAAACAGAAAACGTCATGAAAGGATTACCAAATTTGGCAAAAGGGGATCCCATGTAAAAAAAAAATTGAGGAGACGAGAGCGATGATAATGATGATAATTATTCCAATTTTAATATTTTCAAAAAGAAAAAAAAAATTTTTTTCTTTTTTCTTTTATTTTTTTTTTTTTTGGGGTCACAACTGGGCTCTTTTCTCTCTCTCTCTCTCTCTCTCTTTTTTTTTTTTTTTATCGAGCGTTAAACGTTTTTTCAGGTCAGGGTTTTTTATTCTTTTATCCCGGTGTGAAATTTTTATTAATCCTCTAAGTCAAACCGACAAAAAAAAAATGTTTGGTCATGGAGAAAACGACTGACTTATGTTCATCCCTAATTTTTAAACGGTTTTTCATTTCTACGATGAAAATGGGGCGCTCCCTTTGTCACCCTTTATTAACAAACCAATAATAATAATGATAATACGTCCTCGATTTAATTAATTTTTACATACATATATATTTTTTCTTTGGTAAAATTTTCATTTATTTCGATTGATTCCCCCCTCCCTCTCTCTCTCTCTCTCTCTCTCTCACTCTCTCTCTCGCTCTTTCTCGCTTTCTCTCTCTCTCTCTCTCTTTCTTAATTTTTTCAAAGGTGAACAACAAACCGTACAAGTCCGGACAAAAGTAGGCTAAGGGTAATTTCGAAGGGTAAAAATTAAATAAATAAATGAAAAAAAAATTTAATAATACTAAAATTCAATTCATTTTTCAATCCATCGATCTCTCGAATACCGATCGATTCGATACATCGAATTATCGATTTTTTTTTACCCTAACTCATCCCGTCATCCGTACGTGCGTACGTACACACATGCGACATGGCATAAACTTTTACGTTTAACGTTTTCATAAATATTCATGTAAAAATTATTATTATTATTATTATTTTTAAAGACGTTAAATTTTACAACCGTAAATTATTATTATTATTATTATAAATTACGACTCGTCCAAACGACACCAGTCGGTAAAACATTTTTTTTTTTTATGTTTTTCCTTCATGGATTCCAAAGCAAAAAAAAATGTTTTCTGGAATCATGGCGACGACGACGACGACGACGCTGCTGCTGCTGCTGCGTGAGACTCTCATTTAATTAAAAAAATTCATTCATTCATTCATTTATTTATTGTTATTAATTTTTCATTTAAATTTAAATTTAAAAAAAAATTATTTATTATTATTATTATTATTATTGATGGTCCTCCTTACGTGCACGAGCGAGCAACTGCTGCTGTTGCACGTTTGTTTTGGCAATAGAACCGTTTCAACATTTTACGTCAGAATTTTTTTTCCCTCTCTTTCCCAACAGCTTTTTACTGTAATTTTGTGAGAGAAAATAAACGAAAAAACAAAATAAAAAAATTTTTAATTCGTGAAAATTTTCTCAAGTCGCACATTGAGAGAAAAAAAAAAAAATTTTCTATTTTCAACGCGTAGCTCTTTCTCTCTCTCTCTCTCTCTCTTCGCGTATGTGAACTTTTTGTTAGTGTTTATTATTATTATTATTTAATTAATTTTTTCGCGTTCGTCACTTTTTTTCCAGTGTTTCATATTTTTTTTTTTTTTTTTTTTGTCAAATTGTGTCTTCGTCCACGCGAGTTTTCCCCCTCGGTATGTTAAATAGCAAAAAAAATTACGAATACGCGGATTGCAACGACGATGATGATGATCAATTACATCCGTTACAATCTCAAGCCGCAGCATCTCTTCTCCAGCAATTCGAATCGAAAAAAAAAAATAAAATCGGTTCGAAAAAGAAAAATTCTAGAAACGACGAGTACGATGATTTAAATGACACGATTATTGATAGAGAATCCACTCTGACATCCTACGTCGAACATGTGAGTATCCCCATTTTTTTCTCTCTTTCTTTCTTTCTTTCTTTAGAATAGAATAGAATAGAATAGAATAGAAAAAATTTACCGTCGAGGCAAAAAAAAAAAAAAAACCCATTAATAATAATTTCCGGCGATAAAAAAAAATAAAAAAATACTTAAAAACATTCCGACTCTTTTAATTAAATCTCTCGACGGGAGGGAAGGGGGGAAAGGGGGTCCGGTACGTTAATTTTCTAAATGGTACAAAGATGAAAGATTTTAAACCTTTACTCGAATATCTAATAACCCAAGAGAAGAATCATAAACCGAAAAAAAAAAAAAAAAACTCAAACCCAAACATTTACCTGCGTGTTTTGTTGTTGTTTTAGTTTTAGTTTTTTTTTTATTTAATCGAAACTCAAAAGTTTTACCTGAAGTTTTCATCCGTGATTCCGTTGATTATTCATCTCCGTTATCCCTTCACAACGAATAAAAATTTATGTTTCGAAATATAAATTCGTTAGATTAATTAACGGATTATAAAGTGTACGATAAAAAAAAAAAAAAAAAAAATTACGAAATTAAATTTCCATTCATTACAACGTGTCCCATTCGAAAAAAAAAAAACCACACGGGCCGCCATCATCATCATCATCATCATCACCACCAACATCATTATCATCATCAACATCATCATTCTCGTCGTCATCATCATCGACAACAACAACCGAAAAAAAAAAAAAAAAAATATGCATTTTAATTTTATAATAAAAACATATTCGACTGTTTCTCTCTCTCTCTCTCTGTCTGTCTGTCTGTTTGTCTCTCTCTCTCTCTCTCTCTCTCTCTGTCTGTCTGTCTGTTTGTCTCTCTCTCTCTCTCTCTCTCTCTCTCTCTCTGTCTGTCTGTCTGTTTGTCTCTCTCTCTCTCTCTCTGTCTGTCTGTGTGTGTGTCTCTCTCTCTCTCTCTGTCTGTTTGTCTCTCTCTCTCTGTCTGTCTGTCTGTCTGTCTGTTTGTCTCTCTCTCTCTCTGTCTGTTTGTCTGTCTGTCTGTTTGTCTCTCTCTCTCTGTCTGTTTGTCTGTCTGTCTGTTTGTCTCTCTCTCTCTGTCTGTCTGTCTGTCTGTCTGTCTGTCTCTCTCTCTCTTTCTCTGTCTGTCTGTTTGTCTCTCTCTCTCTCTCTCTGTCTGTCTGTTTGTCTCTCTCTCTCTCTCTGTCTGTCTGTTTGTCTCCCTCTCTGTCTGTCTGTCTGTCTGTTTGTCTCTCTCTCTCTCTCTGTCTGTCTGTTTGTCTCCCTCTCTCTGTCTGTCTGTCTGTTTGTCTCTCTCTCTCTCTCTGTCTGTCTGTCTGTCTCTCTCTCTCTCTCTCTGTCTGTCTGTCTGTTTGTCTCCCTCTCTCTGTCTGTCTGTCTGTCTGTCTCTCTCTCTCTCTCTCTCTCTCTCTCTCTCTCTCAGTTTTTCTCTATCTCTTCCTGATTATATATTATTTTTTTAATTCTCATTTTTATTATTTAACTCAATTTATTAAATATCTATTTTATTAACTCAAAATTTTCTCTTGCAAAAAAATTCTCCCTCGACTGCCACGTTCTCCTGCCACGTTTGACGAAAAAAAAAAATCAAAAAATAAAAATTAGAATATTTAATGAGTGTATTGACATCGTCGTTTCGTAAATGTCAACAATTCACCAATTTTTTTTAAAGACGCTTCAATAAAAAAAAAAAACGACTAAAAATTTAAACAATAATAATAAATTTTTATTTATTCTCCTTCTCATCATTGTTATTATTATTATTTCTTTTTAATAATAATAATAATAATAAATGATTTGTCGTGAAATATGAATATTTTTTTCCACCATTTTCTTAACGGCATACAACATTTCAAAAACCCCCCAAAAAAAACAAAATTTTAATTATTTTTTAAACGACGAGGGTGGTGATAATGATGATGACGATGATGATGATGACGACGATGATAATGATGATGATGATGATAGTGATGATGATGGGGACCCGTGAAAATTTTTTTTAAA